CTCTCCTCACCACCTCCGTTGTTTTCACAGGTGCATTTTGCCCACTCAAGGTCACTACGCAGCGGTGCCCTCCCGGCGCACAGCGCATCTCAGCACATTCAGCCTCCGGGGAACGGGAGCGGTAAGCAGATCTGCCTCCTTGTGCCGGCCCTGCCGCAGGACAGCCGCCCAGCGGGGTGTGTTTCCAGGCAGCGTGCAGAGGACGTGCCCTTGGAACCTGCAGATAAGATAAGGAGATTGTGAACAATTTGGTTTACTACTGAAACCACGCAGAGAGCAGAGAGCCCTGCAGCCGCCCCTGGAGATGGGCACAGCGGCGCTCAGTCCGCAGGGCGGCAGCAGCTCCAACCTACGGTGCTGCTCCCAGCCCTGGCTGAGCGCTCCCTGCTCCGTCCCACAGCAGCAGAAGGGCGCACTGAGCAAGGGGCTGCAGTCGGGAGGGAGGGAGAGCATCGTGTGCAGCTCCTGAAATGGTGCTATTCGTGAGGCAGCTGGATAGCTGACTCCTGGCAGGTCAGGCTGGGGGGCTGTGTTTTCTGCAACACTGGCCCAGCATCACTTCTTTCCCATCGTCTTCATTTTTCTATCATTACTTTTTGTGCTCATTAGGGTTTATTAGCTGCAGTGAGGTTTTCCTGTGACTTTACATAAGAAAAATGGGGGGAAAAAATCATTAAAAAAACAAACCCGAAGACTTTTAAAACGATTTTGAAATTGAATTCATCTTTCAATAATGTGATCTGCAGGAAGGCCAGTGGCAAATTGAATATAGAGTATTTCTTAACTGCACTTCCCCATGCGGGTACGTGGGCCTGGTACACGGGCACACAGCCATCCCACTGCAGAGCAGTGCGGGACATGGAGCCCGGGCTGCTGCAGCCCTCTCTGCAAATACCTGCAGCACCAACATGTCCCCTTCTGGCACTAAATGTTGCTGTTCTCTGGACATGCACTGCTTTAAAAATAATTTGATGCAATAAAATCCAGTGTTTGGGTCTTTTTTTTTTTTTTTTTTTTAACCACTTCTGGAAGCGAGTTCCTCATCCATCTCGTATTTCCTGGTGTGACACTGCACTGCAGCTTCCCTGTGCCACTGGGACCTCTGCACCCAGCAGGGCCCTGCTCCCAAATGGGGCAGGGATGGGGCAGGGCTGCAGGAGGGCACTGAGTGCAGGGCAGGGGCACGCTGCGGTGCTCAGGGTTAATTGCGGGATGCCATCACAGGGAGAGACAGAGATTTCTTTGTGCTGGCTCAGGGTGCTCCAGGAGAACGGCCCATAGCCAGCACTGCTTTGTGCCACCGCCCGGGCTGATGCTGTGCGCCAACAGCTGAGCTGACAAGGACAAAATATGGGATTCCTGGCGATGCGGGGCAGCGAGGTGTCTGTGGGGCACGCACTGAGCCCCACATTTTTTCCTCCTGAGGTTCAGATCAGAAAACCCCACACTGCGATGAGTAAGGGCAACTCCTGGACTCTCCCCTGTGGGACCACCAGCACAGCCCCACTGACGCTGCTGCCTGAGGCCAAAGGAGGAAGGAAAAATGTTTCTGTGAGTAATTGGGACTTTTCCCTGTCCCTTCAGCCTCCGTTGCCGTGACTGACACCATTCAGGAGAACAAAAAGTGCTTTCCCAAAAGGGAAGAAAGTCGCGTTGTCTTGGCTTCCAGCTATAAAAACCATGGAAACCACATAACAATCAGAGGAAAGAGGAAAGATGATAATGAGCAGATACCAGCTACAGCCTTACCTTGGGTGCTTTGTGTAAACAATGGCAGCCGTGGAAAACTACAGAAGCAGGGAACCACACACTGCACCACATCCCTGCCCATGGGAACTCACAGCTGGGTGGGTGAGCTGAGCCGGGGGGGGGGGGGGGGGGCTGAGCTCCCAGTGCCAACCAGCAGTAAGACTGGGGGACTGGGAACACCGTGGGGTGTGTGGGAAAGCAAATGGCAGCAATGATGGCCCCTCTGCCTGCTGCTGGGCAGTGAACTGGGGCTGGAAGGAGGACACAACGCCCAGCAGTGGGGGACTGGGCAGAATGGGCTCTGTCAAACTAATCTGATCCATAATTAAGTCAGTACTTGAAAATAGCTGTACTTCTAAGGTAATAGGGCTTCTGTTGTGTGTCTGACTTGTAACAAATGCAACATGGCACATATTAAATGAATCAGAAAATGCCTAATGCCCCAGAAATGCAATTACAGCAGCAGATTCCTCCTATGGTTGCTGTATCTAAGAGAGTCCTCTGGGATTCAGCTCTTGACTCAGTCCTAGTACTGAGAGCAAGGAAACAGCATTCATTTTAGTATATCAGGTCATCCCTTAGGAAACAAAGGCCGGAGTCATTCTTCAGGAGAGAGCGCTCCGTCCTGGGAAACGGTGACCACGAAGGGCTGCAGTGATCCTGGAAATAAGTCAGCACCAAAAGCTGTGTGCAGGAGCACGGAGGAGCCAAACAAAACTGCTCTGCTGCGTGTCTGCTCCGGAGAACGGCTGGGTTTGACAGAAATCAGGGAGAATGAGAGTCTTAATGAGAAACAGTCTTCCTGTTTGTCTTCAATGCCTTCCTAATTATTTCAGCTGCAACCTGAAGGTGAAAAGACCCGACTGCAGCTGCAGGTCGGAGCGAGGGTGTGCGGGGACCGGAATGTGCCCAGCGCCAGCCGCAGTGCCAGCTGTAGTGCCAGCTGCAGTGCCGGCCAGCGGCGATGCTCCCAGACGGTTCAGCAGTGGCTGCCGCCGGATCCCTCACCTGCAGCCCCGCCTGCAGCCCCACCAGCCGAGCTCCCCCTCCTCGCTGCGTGCCGCTGCAGCCCCGCACCGCCCGCGGCCCTCGGCGCCCTCTGGCGGCTCCGCTGCTTCCAATTCATCCCCCCCTCCCCGGCTCCGCAGCGACCCAGGGCTCCGCTCCGGGCTCTGAAATGGGACCCCCAGGCCTCTGGGGGACAGACTGCCAGACAGCCAGGAGGACAGATGGGTGGATAAACAGAAAGACAGGCGGATGGGCAGATGAATGGGTGGGTGGACAGACAGATGAACAGACAGGTGGACAGATGGGTGGATGGATGGGTGGATAGAGAGGCAGATAGGTGGATGGACAGACAAATGGACAGCCAGATGGACAGATATAGATGGTGGACAGACAGATGAACACGCTCCCAGCTGCATCCCAAAGGATCCCATGGCCGTGGGCTCGGTGCTCTCCTGCCTGCAGCTGCAGCACAAGGCCACACCACCAGGTGCTCAAAGGGTGGCTTCCTATGCAGCTCATCCTGCAACATGGCAAACAGCTCTGCATCCCTCTGCCCCTTATTTCTTGCCTCCAGTAGTTCCCTCCTTAGCCAACTTCTCCATCTTTCCCTTTCCTAAGATCTCTATTACCTTTATGAAATGATTGTTATGCTCTCAAGCCCGCATCTTGCAATTGTTCCAAAGAAGACAGCTGCATTCATAGCTTTGGGTTATACATTATGATTACAAACAGCCTAATTTTCAGGCAACACAAAAGAGAAGCTTGTACACTGGTGCTGTTCATGCAGTACAATTTCATGGCTCCCCCAAAAGAGAACAGCACAGTGCCAGAGAGGAATTCCTTACTTTGTACCAAAATGATTAATGGGAAACAGGAAAAAAAGAAAAGAATTTCATGTGCTAGCTAAAGATTGCAAAACAGCCTGAAAAAAAAAAAAAAAAAAGAAAAGAAAAAAGAAATAAAGAAAAAAAAAAAAGTTTTTCAGACTTTAATTCTTCACTTATCTCACATGCACCTGAGATGACCCCTTTCACTGCAAACAGAGGCACACCTCCAGCTGAAGCTTCCCATCATTGGTCCCATCCTCCCCCCACCCCTGCTGTCATGCACTGCCTGCCTGGTGCTGGGCAGCTTGGTGCTGGCAGCTGAACCTGCTTTGTCACAGAGTGCTGGGAGAGCTTCTATGCAGAAGGAAATTCAGGTTCCACTGGGGTAAAGGTGTGGCTGTGTGCACACTCCCTCCCAGCTGCAAGAAGCCCGTTCCCTCTTGTCCCTGCCCTAGGATGACTTTGCACTGAGCGAAGTCCCCACTGGAGATCATCCCAGTGGTTGCACTTGGAACTTCAGCATAGGAACTTTCTGTGAGTTTTTTTTTATGCAAAGACACAGTTTAGGTGACCCAATATGTCACGCCAGCATCAATCCTCCCAGCACTCACTGCAATGATGGCAGGGAAAGGACATGGCTCCTCACTGCCACCACTGGGCTTCCATCCGGAGGGCTGAAAGATACAGCTGGGACAAGTATAGCCTTATCCCTGCCAGTGCCATGGTCCTAGGATGTCCCCGAGGACACATCCCCAGAGGAGGCCCCATGGCACACATGGGCCATGAGTGGATCTGGCTTCACTCAAGACGTAGGGAACCCACAGCTCCCGCCTGCCCCTGCCCCTGGCCATGGCCCCTTCCTTCTCCAGGCATGTGGGATGTCTGCAGCCCACGTAGGGGAATGCAGCACACAGGGTTGGGCCTGGCATCAGTTTATGTTAAGGCTGTTGCAAGCTGCCAGCTTTTTTTTTTTAACTTATCTCCTGTCAGCTTCCTGGCAGGCTGCACTGTGGGGAAAATGGGCAGAAAAAGGTCTAATAGTGCTGGGGAGCCTGCAGTTCTGGTGCTGCAATGAGTCCCAGCCTGAGCCCATGGGGATGGGTGGGGGGGGGGGCTGTGGGATGGGGCCAATGGGCACCACACATCCACTGCAGCCCATTTGCTATCACCCCCTGAGAGGTCTGGGGACAAAAAAGGCTTTGCAGCAAGAAATGTAGAGGGAAGCAAGCATGGGAGCTGTACCAGCACCAGCAGCAGGGCTGTGCCCACCGCCCAGGCAGCAGGCAGAGGCCCTGGAGCGCGCTGGGCACAGGGTGGGAGGCTGGATTCAATCCTTGTCTTTCACCTGGGCTGGAGGCCAGCCCCAAAATAGCAATCCAAAAACAAGATCACATGAGAGGGAAAAAATAGCAAGGCAAAGGATTGTCCATACTTCCTTGTCTTATGTGGGCGCAGTGCAGCAGCCCCAGTGACAGCAGCACCGTCCCAGCCCCACACATCCCGGACACAGCTGGATTTTGCCTGGAAAGCATCACCACCCCAGTGATGGTGCCGGTCTGAGGACACCGCTTCTCCTTGGAGCTTTTCCTGCATGCTGCTGTGAGTGTGTGAGCATGGGTGTGCGGGCAGTGGGGTGAGGGATAGGGTGACCCAGCAGCAGAGTTCTGCACACCCCCAACCCAGCAGTGCACGTGGGGTATGGCTCCTGCAGGCACACAGCCTCACTGTGGGCATTGCAGCCTGTCCCCAAATGGTCTGCAATGGGTTTTTGTGGTTTCCAAGCTCCCAGAAATTCTGTGGGCTCAGCCAGGCGTGCACGGCCAGGGGAACGGCTGGCGATTTGTTTTCTTCTTTCTGGACAGGGAGGGAGGCAGGAGACATTTCTGTGCTCAGCAATGCAGCTGCAAGGCGAGCAATGAGCTCCCCCCGGACCTGGCACATCTCAGGGGGCTCTTTGACAGCAGTCTCACAGAAAGCTTTGCCACTGCTGCTCGCTCCTGGTCTGACTGCTGCGTGCTGCTCAGAACCCTTCTGCTTCCACGCGGCAGAAAGCGGCTCCGTAGTTAATTATTTACTGTACCTCTAAGCAAGCCAAGAAACGTGCATTATTTACGGCACTCGCGCAGCAGAACGAGGTGAGGGCTCCTTCCCAAAGGCACCAGCAGGAGCAGCACGGCCGTGGCCATGCCGAGCCGGGGGCAGCGCGGGGCCCGGGCCGCATCAGGGCTCTGCCTGTCCCCAAACCTGCTGCCAACTGCGGCGTTCTTGACCAGCCGCCCGGCTCTGCTCAGACCGCTTCGGATCCGAAACCGGATCGGCTGCACAAACGCACGGACGTCGTGCGGCACAGCCACGAGCCCGACAGACCCGCGGCCGAACGACGCTCCAACAGCAGCGGGGGCAGCTGGCCAAGCTCTGCGCTCGCTCCTTTACCCGCAGCAGCCACGCACAAAGCCCGCATCGGGCGCGGCTCCCTCGGGCCCATATCCACTAGTGGGAAGCTCTGAAAGCCCCGATCTGCTTTGGTTTCCTTGGCCACGGGAGGCTGGCAGCAAGCAACAGCCTCTGGCTCGGGGCCGCCTGCCCGCTGGGTGCCCCCCGTGTGCCCGCTGGGTGCTCGCTCACTGCCCGCTCGGTGCCCCCCTGTGCCCGCCGGGCTCAGCCCCGGGGCGGGGCAGCGGTAGCAGCGGTAGCAGCGGTGCCCGCTGAGCCCGACACGGCCGTGCGGGCCGCCCGTCCCCTCCCACCGCAGCTCCTCGCCAATAGGCTTGGCCGATTTTTTTTTTTTTCTGTTTTTTTCTTCCCCCCCTCCCGTCCCCCTCTATTTTTTTTCCCTGTCTCCCCTTCGCTCTGACACCAGCTAAAGGCTCAGCCCGGCGGCGGCAGCTCCTCCGCGGGACCGTGCGGGCGGTACGTTACCCGGGATGCTGCGTGCGGCCCCGGGCGGGGATGTGGCTGCCCTGGGCTGCGGGCGGGGCGGCGGGCAGCGAGCATCCCATCTCATCCCCATCCCATCCCCATCTCATCCCCATCTCCGTTCCCCCCTTCCCCATCCCACCGGGCAGCACCCAGAAGCATCCCCCGAAGCCGCGGGCGCGGTACGGAGAGGCTGGGAGGGGCCCGGGTGCCCACGTGCTGTCAGTGTGCTCCTACCTGGGGAGGATGTGGGGACTGGAGCAGGGCCTGAGGGGGCTCCACGAGGGCACAGATGGGCCAGGAGGGGGGAAGAGGGAGCAGGTTCCTTCTGCAGAGACATTACGGTTTTGAATGTGCTATTTCCTCACCTAAATGGGCCAAAATCCCCCAAACCTTGCAGGTGTCATTGGGCTGCTGCCACTGGGAGAATGGAGGGCTTCAAAACAATGTGAGTTTCACTGCAATTTCAAAATGACTGCAAATTAACTGGAAGCTGCGGCTAGAAATTTGTCTCTGAATTTGAATCCAAATTTTTTAAATGTTTTATTTTGCAAAACCTAATATTAGGACTAATCCAATAGGAAATTTGTCTAAGCGATGTAGTGCTAGAAAATGGTTTTAAAAAAAAGAAAAAACTAGTAAAAGAAAATTATTAATAATAATTTCCTTAATAGAAATGTCCTGGGCAGAGCCCCAGGTCCCATTGCCCCACGTGCTGTTGGTGACACAGTGATGGGTGGCAGTGGGACCCAGGCCTCTGGTGATCCAGCAGCAACCGCCTGAGCCCCTGAGCCGCAGGGAAGCTCTGCACACACAAACACGAGTCTGGACTTTAATTGGTTCCTAATTGCAGTGCTTGGCTTGGCGCTGATAAGCAGAACAATGCCTGAGTGTTCTCCCTTCAAAACGGGGTCAGCACAGCACTGCTCAGTGTGCAGAACAGACTTGGGTTGGGGCTGACCGCAGTTCGGGTCCAGGGAGGCCTCGGCCAGCCCCAGCCCTTTGGATAACCTCCCCTTCCAGCTCCACCCCGCCCAGGGGAGAGCCTCCCCCTCTCAAGCTCCCCGAATGACTCTGGCCTTCCTCCCACTCCCAAGACCTCGATCTTCCCCCCACCCCAGCAGCTCATCACACAGCTGGCCACAACGGTGCTGTTTCCCCAGCAGTGATGTGGCTCTGCTGCTGCCAACCCTGGGGCTGCATTCCCCACCACAGCAGTGCTGGTGCTCAGCTCTCCCTCTGCCTGCTTTATATGAATTTTCCTCTGTGCCAACTGGTATGAGCAAGCTAAAATGCTCACAAACATAGGGGAAGCAGCAAGGAGGGGGAGCATGAAGGAGGTGCGTGGCACCCGATGCGCCCAGGAAGGGTGATCAGAGCTGGGGGTGTATTTGCTTTGTATTGAGCTTCTCTGGTCTGGCACGGGCAGTAGTTACAGCTCACAGTGCCAGCCATAGGGATAGCAGCCCCCGCAAGTTCATCTCAGTCTGTCTCCTCTTGTTTCAATGTACTTCTGATGATGCATTCATAGAGCAGATTTAAATCTGATCCTCTTAAATATTTGCTTTCTCTTCTGATGCCAAGTCAGAAATTTAAATAATAATATTAATAAATGAAAGAGCTTAGCCATTAGAAAGGCCCATTTCTTTCCTCAGTAAGAAAGATGCGGATTTTCCTCCTGGAAGAGCTGTGAGACAGAGCATGGCTCACCTGGAGCGGTCGCTTCTCTGTGCAGCCCCAGCAGTGCTGCTGGTGCACATCTGTGTTTTCCACTCCCATGCACGCACTGTGTGCAGCCTCACAGGGAAAGTTCCAGAGCTCGTGGCAGAAGCAGTGTTCTGGCTTCCTGCAGGAAGCAATCCCCTTTCAGCTCCATTTCCAACAGCTCCTGGGGCTGCGTGAGGCCCTTAGCACCATGGTTGGGTAACCAAAGGGCAAATGCTTCCATCAGGAAGTCCATAGCTGCATGACAATGTGTGGAAGGAGGAAGGAAAAAGGATTTTCAAGAGACATTGCAATCCAGAACCACAAACAGGCACATTTCTGCAGGAAATAAGCTTGCTTTAGGGGATTCATTAGAGAAAACTGCAACTTTTCAATGAGGAGATCATCACCAACTTTTACTGCAATGGGGCAATAATTGTTGGTGGGTGCTGATGTCAGTCCCCACCTCGTGCTCCCTGTGCATCCCAGGCTGTGTCTCAGCAGGGCTGTGTGCTCCTCAAACCCTTCCCACGTGCCTGGTGCCATCTCCCACTGCAGCAGCAGCAGATGCCACCAGCACCAGAGCAAAACTATCATGGTGCACAGTGACCTCTGCCTCATTCCAGCACTGCCTGCTGCAGGAGCAGCTCCGTCCTCTCTACAACCCCAGGAGCACCACTGCAGTAATGCCCAGAGCATTTGCCTCCTGCATTAAACAACCCCCTTTAATCATCTTTAATTTCACGACCCTCAAAATGGCAGCAGTTTAGATGAGATGAGTAGACACCTCTCAAGAATGTGAGCTCAGAAATAAGAGGTTGCAAAGGACAGTGGAGAAAGATGGTCTCTAGCCACAGATCAGCCCAAAAGATGGTCCTTAGCCACAGGTCAGACCACCACCAGCCTGCAACTCAAGAGGACTGGATAAAGCCTTGGCTGGGTTTCACAAGCAAGATGCCAGCATTGCCCGAGCTCTCTGGCAGACCTGCAGGCCTGGAAACATGGGGATTTCCTTCCATCTGCAGATCCCAGCTCCTTCACAGGAGCACACCGCACCCAAACTGCACTGAGGACTGCTGTGTCCTGGGGCACTGATGGACAGACAGAGAAACCCCAGCCCAGTCCTGGGTACAGGGCATACAAGCACTCGTGTTGTGTCCTGCAGCACCTGCCAGGGAGTGCAGGGAGGACGGGCACAGCTGACACTGCCCTCTGGCACAGCTCAAGGGCTGCTAATGCTCACGGCTGGGGCAGCCTTAGAAATCCCACATTCATTTTGTGCAACTGCACGTCACTGATTATCGCCTGTGCTGGAGAACTGGATGGCTCTGCTTTTTAAGCCACACACAATAGAAATCTGTTTGCAGAAGAATTTGCTGAAAACAAGTTCAGCAAGAGAGAGAGGCACTGCTGCTTTGTTATCTCTGCCCCAGTGTGCAGCATGGCCTGAATGAATGCAATAATCCTCCCTTCCTCTCCTCTCATTAAACAAAAGAGCAGCCTGACTCAGTATTCCTCAGTAAGAGCAGTCAGTACTTTTTACCTTGCATCCAACATCAGTGTCCCCTCTGTTAATGCTGCAGGGGCAGACAGCAGCAGATCCTGCAGCCCTGCAGAGCAGTGCCTCAGTGCAGCACAGCAGGATGGCTGCAGGTTGTGGGCACTGCCTGCAGGGTGCAGAGAGGTCTGGACGTGCAGTTAGCACCAGGCCTTCCTCCTTCCTAAAGCTCGTATAACAAAATGGTTTGATTCCCCAGCTGCTCAAATGGGCAGAAAAAGGCTGATAATTGTCTGGGTTTTCAGACCTGGGCATTCAGCACAGCCCCTCTCTGTCCTATTTCTTCTTTCCCAAACTGGCTGGGCCTGAGCCCTCCCCAGGATGAGACAGAGGCACCTAAAGAAGAATGAAATCACCCTGAGAAATTTGCACCCAGCAGAGCAGTGCCAGCAGGGGCACAGATAAAGCAAGAGGAGAGCAGAGGGGATTAAAGTTGCCTGTTACAGACACATGGTGGCACACAAAGTCATGCAAGAAAGCAGGAAAACTGAGAAGCATGAAAGGAATCCCATCACAGAGGGAGAGAGCAAGAAAGGCAGCAGCAAGCCCTTCCCATCCACACAGCTCTGCTGCAGAACACAGGGAGGAGAAGCCACAGAAACGCTTTGAGCTGCTCCTCCCAGGATGTTCCTCACCTTCCCATTAGCTCAGCTCTTCCCCAAGGTGGGGAGGTGCTGCTAGCAAGTGGCTGCAGGTCAAACCAACCATAAAATGGCAGTTTGCTGGCTCTGGTCCCTGTAACCAAAATGCAAGAGACACAGCACCCTGGGAAGGCTGGGGATCAGAAAAGAAGCAGAAAAAAGATTTTCCCCCCAGGCCTGCGGCAGGAGCAGGGCTGACCCGCAGGGTGACATCCCCAGCCCATTGATCTCCTCAGACTCATTCTGGTGTGGTGTTGTCCTCCCTAAGGTTTGCTCTTTGCCCGCAGCAGTCTAGACACAGGGCCGTGCGTGACTCACAGCCTTCTTGTGCTCAGAACGTTTGTTCCCACTTCTTAATTTAGAGCCGTGCTCCGAGAGGAGAAATCTGGGCGTCAGCCTTAACCTTGGGACTTTTCTTCCCACGCCTCTGGCGTTAGCAGGCCGACGGTCCCACCTCTGCCTGAGTCCCTGCAGAGCCCTTCTTTCTGCCTAGCTTCTATTTCCACAGTGCAGAGCTCCAGCACTGACCCCAGTGCCCCTGGGCACCCCGAATCCCAGCCGCCCCCTGTGGTTGGGGTGAGCACAGGGCAGCCCCCAGCCCAGCATTTCCCTCCTCGCTCCCAGCCCCGCGCTCCGGGCGGACAGGAGGGGGAGATCTTCACCACCACAACTCACAGCCTGCTGCGCCGGGTGACTGCACTGCTGTTTGCTCATAGCAGCGCGCTTGCAGACAGGAGCACTCAGATGGGTACGTTGTTCTCCATTGGGACGTCCATCTCCCTTTAGATTTAAGTTCTGAAAGGAGCTGGAGGGGGCAGAGGGGCTCTGTGGGGTCAGTGCTGCGGGTGGTGGCTGTCATCTGGGGAGCTGCAGCCTTCAGGCTGTATGTGGGCGCAGGGCAGCATCGGGCATTTTGGGGATGGCATTGCTTGGATGAGCCCTTTCCTATGCCCAAAGCTTTGCAGATACAGGATTGCTGGTGTCCCAGGCCAGGCAGGTTTCAAAGGGGAAGGCTGCATACAAATTATTTTTAAATTTCTGGAGGATTCATGCTGCTTTTGTTTTGTTTTGTTGCCTCAGTTCAGTGGGTT